GACTAAGGTTGAGGTTCTCTTTTTTAACCTATGGATATCTACTTGCTTGAGTACTTTTTGCTGAAAATGTTCTTTCTTTCCTTCATTGAATTGCTTTTGCACCTTTGTCAAAGATGAGTTGCCCATTTTGTGGGGGTCTGTTTCTGTGTTTTTTATTGGTCTGTGTATTCCATTGGTCTATGTATCTGTCTCTCTGCAGATATCACAGAATCTTGATTACTGTAGTGGTGAATTAAATCTTGAAATGCAGAAGATCAATTCCTCCCACTTTATTGTTCTTATTCAAAATTGTTTTATCTACTCCACTTCCTTTGCCTTTCCATTTAAATTGTACAATAATTTTGTCTATACCTACAAAAAATCTTAACTAGGATTTTGATTGGAACTGCATACATATCAGTCTGTTTCTTTTCTCTGAAATAGACAGAACAACTTGGCATGTTTTTATATTTCTTGTTTTCCTGTCTCTTACTACCTCACTTTTTTTGTTCATTTGAAATTTCAGTTTCAAACTGATAATTATTAATTTTTAACATTTAAAAGTTGTAATTGGATCATCATAGTTCTGTCAAATACATTTTTAGCATATTGCTGATCTGTGTTGACTAGGTGACCAGTGGTTTCTCCAAGCTGCCCACCAGCAGCCACATCATGTGGGGTTGTTCTATGATTATATTCTAGCAGCACAACATTATCAATAACATTAATATGATGGTTTGCATTTTTATCTTTCAATCAGATTCTTCCTTTCTCCTGATTTCCTAGCCTAAATATCCTTTAGCTCTGAGCCCCTTGCTAATTTGCAAGGCTAGATTAGGCAAACAGATATCAACACCATGGGATTATTTTCTACTTCATCTCGGAGTTTATAGTTTGTGATATACATGGTAAGATTTTGTAGAGCAAGGAGTTGGTAACTGTAGATACTTCTAGACTTAATCTGCAACATTTATTACTTTTGGTTTAAAAAGTTGTTGATACAGTCGTGCTTATTAGAACATAAATTCAAAAAGTTGTGTTAGATCCTATATTTGCAGAGATATATAAATTAGACTCTGTCAAAGATTAAAGTCTGTTGGGTGAAATACACTTGTAAACAGAAAGCTTCATTACATTGAGGTAAGTGCTATGATAGAGATATTAGGGCATTTTTGGAATAGAGAGGCACCCTTACCTTACTAGGGGAGGAGGAATATTGGGGGAGTCATGCTTGAACTGAGTATTGAATGGTGAATAGAAGTTAATCTGGTGAAGGTGGTGATGAAAGGACATTTCAGGCAGTTAGAATAGCGTGAACAGAGGCACATAGAAAGAAGCAGCTAACATATTGGGATTGGTAGCAGGGGCATTATGAACAAGTTAGTGCTGTTTGAGTGGCAAGTGTGGGAGGCAGGGAGTAAAATAAGATAGGAGGATAATGTTACCAGAAAACTGGGTTTGCCCGAGAGTGGTGGGCATTGAGCCAATAGCCACAACCAAGCCAGAGATCGAGAGAAGGAAGGATTTATTACTTGCAGCAAGTAAGGAGAACACTGGGGATCTTTCTCAAAGCAGTGTCTTCCTGAACAGCAAAATTGGGGAAGTTTTAAACTAAGGGTACATGTATATTCATGAGGGGGCTTGAGCAGAGGAGAATTCAACATAGAATTGGGACAAAGGTTGGCAGAGTCCAAGCTTTAGTTGATTAAAGTCTAGACTATCAACATCTTCATTCCATCCTCCACCTGGTGGGGGCCTTAGTTCCTGCAGAACTCAAAGATATGTTATGTATATCCCTTGAGGAACCAGGACCCTGCCCCAAGGCTGCACTGTTGTTTCTTGACTGCTCCTCCCTAGTTTCTGCATTCCCTCCCTTAAGATCATTAATTACTGAGATCTGTTCAAGGGCAAGCATGGCAGCCAGGCTTAGATCACAAAATGGCTTAGGCCTAAATGGGTTCTCTTATGTCAAGAGAGCCATTCTTGGTTCTCTTTCTCCAAAGACCCTCTAGCCTATCTGCTTATAAGTCAGCTCACATTTTGAAGGGCCTGTTGTGTTGGGTTTGGACTTGATCCTCAGTGGCTCGCAAATCTATCAGACCCAGGGTTTCCTTTTTATAGTACATATTTTCCAGTGTCCCTGTTGGGCTGCACTCTGCAGGCCTACAAGGCCTGCACTTGCCCAGCTTCAAGACCGAAGAAAGAGCTCAGAGTCAGCGACAGAGACATCAGGGTTAATTTAATGGATGGGGGAGCTTACACATCTGAAGCAAGGTCCTGGAGCAACACCCCACCATGTGTGACAGACAGCAGGCAGGACATGGTGGCAGGCTTTGCTCCTGGGTGGAAGGGAGATTACCAGTTATAGGGGGAATTTCGCCAGGTTGGCTCATTAGTTACCAGGGAAACCAGCAGAGGGGCACACCCCTCACTGCCCTTTTGATAAGAACAGAAGAACAGTCACTAGCTGGGGTCTGGGGCAAGTTTGTAGGAAGGTCAGTCATATTGTAGGGTATGGGTGAAGCAGGCACTGGTCAGGCAGGGGATGTACAGAGAGCAAGAGAACACCCATCTTGAGTGGTCTGACCATACAGTTCCTTTATTAACCTTAAATGAAATGCATGTATAATTATAATTCACATATAATAAAATTAACATGTATAATTTCTAATAATATGACATACATGTAATATAAAGGAAAGTTATAAGGAAAATAAAATAATACAGTAATTTAAAATATATATTTAACAATGTAAATGTTGAAGCATTACTGCATTAGAACATGTAATGAATTAATCAAATACTTGCACCTATGTGTAGAATAACTGTGAATGTGCAGCAGTAAATGCAGACATATATAGATGTGTTGTTTTGGTAGTTCAGAAATCAAAATGTGAATGGTATTGCCACTGGTAATGAGATTTTCCAAAATGCTCAACAACCTATTTGTAAAGTTCTGACCAAACCAAAGTATTGATACAAGCTGTATTAGTTGCATTCCTGGAAAATTTAGAGCTTATTAAAACTGTGCCAAAAATAATTTTTTATGTAAAAAGAAAAAGATTAATTTCTAGGCCCAGGTAATTATAAACAGATTCCACATAATATTAGATGGGACATTGCCAAGTCATGTAGGACATGTGTCAGTTTGTTTTGTAGGATGTTCTTGAGCAGGGGTTGGCAAACTACATCCTGCAGGACACACTATTTTTGTATAGCCCATTAGCTAAGAATGATTTTTACATTTTTAAAGAGTTGGGCAAGTAAAAAGAAGAATATGTTACAGAGACAGTAACACCTTTTTTGGATGAATTGACCCCAGTTCAAGATATTATTGACTGGAACCCAACCAAAATAACTTCTGTCACAAGTGAAGTTAAATCAGAATAGATTTCTTAATATGCTTTGAGGAAAAGAATGATACACATCACCTGTGTTGTGATGTGATATGATAGTGTGAAGCAAAGTGCCGGTAGAAATAATTTTATTTAATTATATTATACAAATTAATGTTTCTATTGAGTGGCATAGCCAGAGATTTTGGGTCCTCCTACCTGGTAAATAGGCAGATATTCAGTAAACATTTGTTGAATTGTAATGTGAAATATCTTTAATCTGTGTTGTAATATTTATCGTACAACTTTTTCATATTAATGGAGGAATGAAAGACAGCATGTTTGTCTTTCAGCCTCCGTTCCACCTATTCTACCTATACTCCACCTGTACACTGTCTACCTTTACATTCCTCTGTTCTCACTGCTACTGCTCAAGTGTAGGCAGGACTCTTGGTTCCAAATGATAGGAATACAGCTTAAACCATCTTGAATAGTAAATGGGAGTTTTTGGTGCCTACAGGTGGAAAAGATGCCGAGATAACATACAGAGTTGAAGAAAGGTCTGCAGGAACCAAGGCCTTGGGGATTACAGAACAGGGTATCACTCCATTAGAACCCACTCTCATCTCTGCTTGGCTTCATTCTATTTTATTGCAATCAGGCTTTTGCCAAAAGATCAAAGATGTCTGTCTGCAGCCCTCCAGTCTCATGTTCTTCTGGTACCATGACCTCAGGAGGCAAGACCACTTCTCCTCCTAAATTGGGAGATTAATTTGGATCAATCACTGTGCCCAGAGAAAGGACGTACTATGATATTGTGGTTTGGAGCTCATATCAATCCTCATGGCCAGGCAGGGGAAAGCTTGTTCTGAGACCAAATCATTAACCATCACTGACCTATTCAGGACTCCATTGCCCCAGCCCTTTGATGATTTCCCCGCTTCAGTTTAGCTGCTTACTGTTCTCAGAACAGCAATGGCAATTAAGGTTTGAAAATTTATGGAAAAGAATAAAGTAGTATACAGTTTCAGAGTAGTATTATTGGATATTGTAGTATTATTGGCTGTTTGGTTGAAGATGGGTATAAAACTAAACTAATTCATTCACTTAACAAAATTTACTTAGTACTTCGTATGGACAAGGCATTACCCAGTTATAGTATATCAAACCAAGCCTGGCTATAAGGCACTGTGAAATTATGTAAGATTTCATCAGAGCACTAATTCATTTTATTCTCTTGTTTTATTATTTTTACATTTTAATTTTATTTATATTTTATTATTTCCTCATCATGGAACTGGATATTTATAGATTCTAGTTATTGATAGAGAATTTGAGTGACACGGATTTTTTTTTTTGGCCATGTCTCGTGGCTTGTGGGATCTTAGTTCCCCTACTGTGGATTGAACCTGGGCCCTCGGCAGTGAGAGCATGGAGTCTTGTCCACTGGACCGCCAGGGAATTCCCAACATGGAATTTTTCACAATAGCTTTTCTGATATTCAGTATTTTCAAAGGGAATATTTTTGTATTTATGAAGTGCTTATTCTCATTACTGTCTTTTGATGACCCTTTTTGAAAGCTTATTCAGTGATTAAGAATCACTCAAAATGTGATCTGTAGTTAAGATGCATCTTTTTCTAGTTATCTACCAAATTCATATCTGTTATTTTTTCTGTCATTATAGTCTATTGCATCTGCAGACATGGATTTCAACCAGCTGGAGGCATTCTTGACTGCTCAAACCAAAAAGCAAGGTGGGATCACATCTGATCAAGCTGCTGTCATTTCCAAATTCTGGAAGAGCCATAAGACAAAAATCCGAGAGAGCCTCATGAACCAGAGCCGCTGGGACAGTGGGCTTCGGGGCTTGAGCTGGAGAGTTGATGGCAAATCACAGTCAAGACACTCAGCTCAAATGCACACTCCTGTTGCCATAATGGAGCTGGAAATAGGGAAAAGTGGGCAGGTGAGTTCAATTTCAGTTTCCCTTTGTAAACTGTATTTTTCCATTACGTATTAGCCATACATTCAGAATGATTTTATGTAACAGTCTTTGTTTGCAGAGATAATGATAACAGGAAAAGATTCTGGTTTTCAGAATCCCTTTTCAAAGATAGAATCATCTGAAAGTTTGGATGTTCCCAACTGTGGATAGAGTCTGAAAACCAGCCTCCGGCAGCTATCTCAAAAGAACAAAGTGGGTTAATAAGGTGATTGCACAGAAGTTGGCCACTGTTTCCTTTTGGTTAGATCTGAGTTCGTGGCGTTTGGTCAGAATTTCCAAGGCAATGATAAAGGTGCTAAGTAAAGACCAGGAATTGAGATTAAACAACATAGAACAAACCTATCTCACAAAACTCATCTTTATAGGCATTCAGGTATAGGAGGCAATGTATTTTTTTAAATAAATTTGTTTATTTTTATTTATTTATTTTTGGCTGCATTGGCTCTTCATTGCTGCATGCAGGCTTTTTCTAATTGTGGTGAGCGGGGGCTACTCTTCGTTGCGGTGTGCAGGCTTCTCATTGCGGTGGCTTCTCGTTGCGGAGCACGGGCGCTAGGCATGCGGGCTTCAGTAGTTGTGGCTCGCAGGCTCAGTGGCTCTGCGGCATGTGGGATCTTCCTGGACCAGGGCTCAAACCCATGTCCCCTGCACTGGCAGGTGGATTCTTAACCACTGCACCACCAGGGAAGTCCCAGCAATGTATTTTAATTACAACATTGTGTTGTTCCTAAAGACCCTAAAGTATACTATTTCTGTCCTTGAGCCTACAAATTGTTTTTAATTGATCTTGATCATTTACAAAACAGTACTGCTTTCCTTGCAGTTTCCAGTGTCGTTATAGCAGACATCTACATGGTTTTTCTTTGAAGTCTTCAGTTTGTACTCCAGATGACTGCCAGATCAGACTTTTTTTTTTTTTTTTTTTCCTTGCGTTATGCGGGCCTCTCACTGTTGTGGCCTCTCCCATTTGCGGAGCACAGGCTCCGGACGCGCAGGCTCAGCGGCCACGGCTCACGGGCCCAGCCGCTCCGCGGCACGCGGGATCCCCCCGAAACGGGGCACGAACCCGCGTCTCCTGCATCGGCAGGCGGACTCCCAAGCACTGGGCCACCAGGGAAGCCCCAGATCAGACTTTTAATGACCTGGTATATGTCTTTTGGGGGGAAAAAAGCAGCAACTTGTAATTAGGAAGAGAAAACCCAGATCACTGAATTAGCTAACCAGATTTATTTTCAGATAAATAATCAAATAAGTGATTCTATTACATCCTATAATAGAAATTTATATCTTTTCTTCTAATGATGAGTGCATTATTTTAGCTGGCAGGTTTCCTCACATAATCCCTTCTTGAGTTTCTTAGGGTTTTCCCAGTATTTGTAGTTCCCTAATGACTTTAATTTTAATTTAAAAGATAATTCCTTTTTAAAAATTGTTCTTTTTCAAAATATATTTTGAGGACCTTTTATTCAGTTATTTTACAGTAGTGCTAATTGCCTTTACTGACTTTGGTTTCTCTGATCCTAAAGTCCATTTTCTTAACCACTGTGTTATACAGCCTTCCTCCTATTATTCCTAGACCAAAAATCTGACAGAAAGGTGCAGAAAGTATTCTTGGATATCTAAGTTTCACCAGCCATTTTTATAGGCTGTTCATTTTTTATTCTGGCAGTAGTGATTTTGTCAAGTATTTATCATTTGGGCAGGAATATGAAAAGATACATATCTACTTTGACTTTCCTAGAAAACTATTATAGTATTTCTTTAACTCAATATTTTCCTAATATTTTTTGAACTGGGGTTTATAATGTGCCTTTTGATTTTAGTAACTTATATACCCTCTGAATATATTGGGTACTGACACAGGGATTTTATAAATCTATTTTTTTTTTTTTTTTTGCGGTATGCGGGCCTCTCACTGCCGTGGCCTCTCCCATTGCGGAGCACAGGCCCCGGACTTGCAGGCCCAGCGGCCATGGCCCACAGGCCCAGCCGCCCCACGGCACGCGGGACCCTCCCGGACCGGGGCACGAACCCGTGTCCCCCGCATTGGCAGGCGGACCCCCCAACCACTGCACCACCAGGGAAGCCCTTAAAAATCTGTTTTTAAGTTCCTATGGTTTTTCTTTCATTTTTTTAGCTAAAGTAACAAGAAAAAACATTTTTTTTTAGAACAGTAGAATGTGTTTTTGTCAGTCAGTAAATCTAAACATCACTACACATGATTGTTTAGCTAGCTTCAGGAACATTTCATGATTATTTAGAACAAGTTGGTAAACTTTTTTTTGAGAGGACAGATACTTTATGCTTGACAGCTATACAGTTTCTGTCACAAGTACTCATCATTCTTGGTGCAGCTCAAAAGCAGCCACAGACAGTATATAAACAGATGGGCACTCCTGTCTTTCTAGAAGGTTTACCTATTTCAATAGAATCAATAGGTCTTAGAAGTCAGAGAGTCCTTAAGTACTCATCTAAGGTGAATTACATAGGTGAGTGGTATATCCTCATTTTCCAGAGAAGGTGTATGTGACAGAGAAGTGACTTGCTTCAGACATAGCTGATAAGTGGTAAAGTGAGAACTAAAATGGGGATCGGGGCTTCCCTGGTGGCGCAGTGGTTAGGAATCTGCCTGCCAATGCAGGGGACACGGGTTCGAGCCCTGGTCCGGGAAAATCCCACATGCCGTGTAGTAACTAAGCCCGTGCTCCACAGTTACTGAGTCTGTGCTCTAGAGCCCGCGAGCCACAGCTACTGAAGCCCGCATGCCTAGAGTCTGTGCTCTGCAACAAGAGAAGCCACCACAGTGAGAGGCCCATCCACCACAACGAAGAGTAGCCCCCACTCTCTGCAACTAGAGAAAGCCCGAGCGCAGCAACAAAGACCCAATGCAGCCATAAATAAATAGATAGATAGATAGATAGATAGATAGATAGATAAATAAATAAATTTAAAAAAATAAAATAAAATGGGGATCACCAGACTTAGTTTTTCCAAAAACCATTGATACCAACATCTAGGAGCTTTTGTTAGCTTCTCACAATAGTCTATGCCAAGAAAACATGTTGGTTATAAAACATGTTGGTTATACAGTGCAGTAATCATGAGCATTGATAGGAATATCACTCAGCAATAAGAAGGAAAGAACTTTTGATATACGTAACAAAATGGTTTAATCTCAAAATCATTTGCTGAGTGAAGTAAGCCAGATAAAAACTTTTTTTAACATAATGTATGATTCTACTCATATCAAATCATAGAAAATGCAATGTAATCTATAGTGACAGAAAGCAGATGCCTGGGCATAAGAGTAGAAGGAGGGATAGATTAGATTACAGAGGGGTGCGTGAAAATTTTTAAGTGTGAAAAAAATGTTTATGTTCATTGTGGCAGCTGTTTTATGGATGTAAATATATGTATGTCAAAACTTATGAAATTGCATGCTTTAGATATGCAGTTTATTGTACATTACTTCAAAGTTGTGAAGAAAATGGTCACTGTGAAAATGATTGAAAATGCACTTTAACCCACAAAATCCTTTGAACGCAAATATATTCTTAAATCAAGAAAAGTTGTAAAGAAAGTAAACTGTAATAGAACCTAGGCTGGCAGTAAAATAAATATACAACCCAGATCCTACCGGAAATATTTTTGTGATCCTTGGTTAGTACTTCTGTCAGCTTCTGGGTGAATGTTATTTATGAAATACTCTACTAAATCAACTTACCAGTTTTTAGAACACGTATAGGAAACAAAGGCAAAGTTATTTTTACACTGCTGTCATTGGATGAGCTTGTGAGAGAATTAATGATTCTAGGATATTAAGAGGTTGCTTCTAAGAAGAATGACCAAGTTTTTTGAACTCTGGGGTGTGTGTGTCCATGTACCCCAACAACTAAATTACTGTCTTCAATTTATGTCATTTTAAATCAGTGGTTCTCAATCATGGCTACACATAAGAATCACTTTTGGAGCTTTAAAAATTTTCATGCTCTGGACATACTTCAGACCAATTAAGTAAGAATCTGTGGGGATGGGACCTGGGCATCAGTATTCTTTAAAACTGGTGATTTAAAAAAAAAAACAAGGGTGGGGGGACTTACCTGGTGTTCCAGTGGTTAAGACTCCATGCTTCTACTGCAGGGGGCACGGGTTCGATCCCTGGTCGGGGAACTAAGATCCTGCATGCCACGCGGCGTGGCCAAAAAAAAAAAGAACACACAACAACTAAAAACTGGTGATTTCAGTATTATTCCAAGGTTGAGAACCACTGTGTTAAAGGTGCCAACTACTCTGATTTGAAATGTTAATATAGCTTGGTATTAAATTTTTACAGTGAGAATTCAGCATATGTTGGCATATTACTTCTACTTGCCGTAATTTGTGAAGTGCTTGGGGACTATTTATTCAGACACTAGATGTGGTACGTTTTTTCTGTCTTTCCCTCTCTATTTAAATTTCTCTCTCCTGCTCAGTTTGTCTGCATTACTTCTTTCTTTGGTCCAAAAAGTGTATTTGACAATTGGCAGCCAAGTGCATGCATTAAATTTTTTTTCTTATTAACCACAATATATAATGCCTTTGGGATATGAGGAAGCCAAAGTAATAGAGAAGTAACTAAGGCAGTATATATTTATGGAAATATGTAAAGCTAGAGAAAATGGCTATGCACTAGTGACCTAAATACCTTTCTTGTAGTGAATGTTTTTCTTCAACAGAAATAAAATTTTTGCAAGAATAAAACATGAATTCAGTTATAAAAGTACACAGAAAACTCTGAGGTGAACATTTCATGTCCAAAGGGAAGAACATCAGTGTTTTACTCGTATAATTGAGATCCTTTCATATTTGATGATAAATCACGGAGGGACCTAATCCTTGAGGACTGTTGGAATCTGGCATGTGTCTTTAGGAAAGTTTTATTGTTCTGCTTACTTCATTAATACCACTGTTTTCCTTTCCTG